CCTCCACCCTCCCCGTTTCGCCACTCTCAGCACTGGTCCTGAAGGGATCATCTGCCCTGGATTCCCTATGTTTCCAGTTCCTGTCTGTACCAGTGTACATTCTCTGGTCTAGCCAGACTTGCAAGGTAGAATTGGGATTATGATAGTGGGTTAGGGGAGGAAGCATTTAGGAACTAGAGGAAAGTTGTATGTTTCATTGTTGCTACCCTGCACCCTGACTGGCTTGTCTCCTCCCGGCCACCCTTTCATAAGGGAATGTCCAGATGCCTACAGTTGGGCTTTGGGTCCCCACTCCGCACTTTCCCTCATTCACAATGATAAGATTTTTTGTTCTGATGATGCCTGATACCTCATCCCTTCAACGCCTTGTGATCATACAGGCTGGTGTGCTTCTTCCATGTGGGCTTCTTTGCTTCTGAGCTAGATGGCCGCGCGCGCGTGTGTATTTATTTATTCTTAAAGCTTACTTTGTTTTTATGAATGCTATATGGAATACATGAAGGTCGTAGATATAGTTCTCTATATTTAGACTTTAAATTTATTTTCTTAGTCATGACCACTACTTAAGCATGTCCAAGGTAAATAATAAATGAGAAAATCTTTAAAGAAAACCAGGTTGCAAGTCTCTCTGAAATTAAAAATGCCTCTGCTTTATTTTCTTTGCCATTTATGTTTGATTTTCTAAATTCTGAGGAAACAGAAATAAAAAGATTATTCTTATTTACCAAATTGTGTGCTTTGTCCTCAACAGAGGGCACAATTGTAAGGACGGTACAGGAGCAGGTAGCACGTCATTCTGTGACACACAGGGGTTCTCTGAACCAGCTCGACAGCACCCAGACCTCGTACTGTGAACTCTCGCTGTAGACAAGTCCCTCTGCTGAGAGCTTTCTCTGTATGAATCATTCTGTCTCCTCTAGCTGGAGGCACTACTGCTCCCATTTACAGGCGAGGAAGTGAGCTGTAACTTCCTCAAGTAACCCAAAGTGAAAGTGGTAGAGCCAGGAATCAAACTCATGCTGACTAGGGGAATGCCAATTCTCCACCATGATGAGCAAAAGTTAGCTGGGTAACTTGATTTATTTTTCATATCTTTTTAACTGCCCTATTTATAATTAAGTTTTCCCAACAACTAATTTAGGGGAAAAATCATTCCTATTTTAGTTGCTGTTTTCCTCAGAGGATTTGGAATGAACAGCCAGTTCATAGACATGACCTCTATTTCTTTATGCTTATGAACTACTCTTTTTGAGCTGGCCAAAAAGAGAGAAATGAGAGAGAGATTAGTCAGTGAGGCCAAGTGGTCACACATTTCTACCTGAAACACCTTGAAGAGACAGAGGTTTGTGACACCAGGACCCATAATTAATCAGCTATATGTTAGAGGATTCATAAGTTACAGACCATTCTGCTAAAAAAATTTGCCATTGAGTGAATTTCAACTGTTAGCAGTCCATTATAAGGCTCCCAAGGCTATAACTCTGTATAAGAACAGACAGCTCCATCTTTCTCCAAAGGAGGAGCTGGTGGGTTCAAACTGCCAACCTTTCTGTCAGCTGCCCGACACTTGCTGGGTTACCAGAGCCCCTTCACTTCATACATGTTTGGATATTTATGTGTTGCTATTCATTTAATTGTAAATTGTGAATAATATTCTTTATATGTACAGATAAGACATTTGCCATTTCAGCATTTTTTGCATGTACTGCTCGTGGAAATTGATAATGTTCACTGTTGGGTAACTGTCACCATTGCTCATTGCCAAAATTTCCCATTTCCCTTCACTGAAGCTCAGTTCCCCCTGTGAAAT